TGAAAATGCCTATGTATAACAGGAGTTTCACCCTTTTCACATCATTATTGCTGTTATCTGCTATGTCATTCTTCTTCTTTTCTCCAGTAGTTCAGTACTTGGCTCAGTCTTCCTTTATACCCATTTACTTCACCTTTGTCCTAATAATAAAAGACTTCAATATCCTCTTGATGTTTTCTCAAATTGTTTCTTTCCTTGGTTTATCAGCCTCCACAACTGTCGTAAACTGCAAGTTCAATCCTTTTTAGTCACATATAACAATTATTATACTCTTAAGAACTTCACCACCCATAACTTCTATTTCTGTGAGTGAGAGCTGTGAAACTTCTCCATATGATCATAACTTCCTATCATTTCATCACTACCTTGCCCTTACTTTTTCTAACTTTATTCTTTCTTCATTCTATGATCTCCATTTCCTCCATGCCTTGGTCTTATCCAAGGCTATTGACTTGCTATGGCTTCACTTTTGTACTTTCAAAGTACTGAACATATAATAAATAAATTCAACTTTACCCTCTTCACTCAAATCACCAGGCACCTTGTCCAGCTGTCTCATACCTTCAAAAATTTTGACTTTAGTTTATAATTACCAACTGCCTTCACCTTTTTTGCTTATATGTGATGTTGTAGATATTTACTTAACCATGTTGATTGGGTACATTAGAAATTTATGTAATATAATATAATCCTGAGACCTCACTATTGCTAGATAATCCACTTCAACTTTTCTAATTGATCTTTTAATATGTGACCAATCCCTTAACCAAGGCCAAACTTTCTATGTATATGGTTGATCACAGTCCACCCTCTTTTCTCAAAGAAAATTTCTACACAGTCATATTTTCTTTTTATGGTTGTCTCTCTCCATCTCTTTCTCTGTGTCATGTTCAAACCACATGCTGACTTTTTATGTGTTCGCTACAAACATATCTAGTTTATCCTCACCTTATTCAAAGCATTTATTTCTCACTACCATAGCCATAAGCTGTTGTATATATATGTATATGTATATGTATATGCATATGTATATGCATATGTATATGTATATGTATATGTATATGTATATGTATATGTATATGTATATGTATATGTATATGTATATGTATATGTATATGTATATGTATATACACACTTAATTTCCATGGCAAACTGTCTATCCTTGTCTCAACTTACTTCCCTTATATTAACTTCTCAGTCCTTGTAATCAATCTACCTTTGGACCTCATCCCTCAATTGAAACTACTGTCTCCAAAGTTTTTAATGAACTCTTAGTTGACAAATCCAATGGTCATATCTTCAGTGCTTAATCTTCGTAACACTCTAGAGAGTATGCTAGAGTATGTTAGAGCATTTGATTCTGTTGAACCACTTTCCCTCTTGAATCATCTATGCTCTCTGGGTTTTTGTGAAATTGCCTCTCTCTCAGTTCTCTTCTTATAGTGTGGTACTATAGAAAGAACAATAAAATTGGCTCAAGAGACATTAAGGCAAGAGATACAGACCTGGGAATCCTCAGTATAGAGATGATTTTTAAATCAATAGGAGATGTTACAATAACTAAGGCAGAAAACACATAGATATAGATAGATACATATATCAGACATCTATGTATTTGTATCCCTGTCTATATTATATAAATATATGTACAGAGAATTGAAGAGAGAGAGAGAGACAGAGACAGAAAGAGAGAGAATGTAAATATGTTTCACTATATGACTCTCTCGATGTCAGTTTCTTTATTTATAAAATTATGGATGACCACTAAGAAACATTCTAATTAAAACTATGATTTTATGATCCTACCTCCCTGACTACTCTCTGTATCCTATATGTGTAAATATGTACACATTTCTCCTATATGTGTAAATCCTGCCTGATACTCTTTCCTAAGCTTCAGTCTTCAATAACTAACTGATGAAAAGACATTTTGGATCCAGTAGAAATCACAAACTCAATATGTTTGAAACAGGACTGATTTCTCTTCCCAAAGCTATCACCCTTCTCATAACTGCTTATCTTCATTACCATTGACTCAATTCTCCCCTTATTCTGCCACAAGACAATAAGTTGCTAAGTCTAGTACTTTCTATGTCTGTACTTCATTGCATCTGCATTACTCCCTTTTTTACTCATGTGTGCTCAGCCTCATTTCAGACCTCATCATCTCTCACCTAGATCCTGGTGATAACCTCCTGATTGGCCACTCTGATACCAGTTTCCCCTTTCTGACTCACCCTCCATAAAATTTTTGAATTCATAGTCATAAATCACATTGCGATTTCCTAGTCAAATAGCTCTAGTAAGTGGATCTCTGTTGTCTCTAGGTTGAGTTGCAAATATCACTTTTTGGCATTTGAAATAATGTGTAATCAAGTTTATTCTTTCCCATTCCAGGCTTATAAGCCTGGGAGTTCTGTGCCTAGATTGACTCCACCAATCTCCAATTGTATTGTGTACAGCTTCTCTTCTTTCATTCTAACTTTCAGTCAAAATAGTTGCTTACTAGTCTTTTTTGCTTATATTTAGGTAGTTAGCATTGAAGTTTGACAAAGATGGGGAGGGTGTCTAAAAAGCTTTGCATGTACATTAGTCTGCCTTGACTTAGAAAGACAGAGCTCACCGGATAAAGAAATTCTAATAAAATCATCATGAGAATTTCACTATTTGAGAATTGAAATATCTCAGAAGTTCTTGATTTTATTCTAGCACTAGAATTCTTCCTCATGGGACTCAAGGGAAGCCTAAGCGTTCCTTTATCTGAGAAAGATAGTTTGACTTAATATTGTAATTATTGAAATAATTCTAATTGAATCTTATAAATTAAGGATTTCTTAGAGATGTCTTGTCTCAGAAAGAATCTTTCACAGTTAGAGCTTGGACTAAAAATGGTTAAGCTAGTATACAAAGGGACACTATAAAGATGGGGACTTTATTTTTCATTTTTTGTATTTATTTAGTATTTAATTTTTCCCAAGTTACATGTAAAAACAATTTTTTAACTTTATGTCTTTCATTGGGTGATTTTTTAAATGTTAATATGTGGTTTTCTTTTTTAATTTTAAAATTAATTAATTTTTCCTTAGTTTTCAACATTCACTTCCATAAGCTTTTGAGTTTTAAATTTTCTCTGCCTCCCTCCCCAAGGTGGCATGCAATCTGATATAGGTTCTACATAAACATTCTTATTAAACATATTTTCACAGTAGTCATGTTGTAAAGAAGAATTAGAATGAATAGGAGGAGCCACAAGAAAAAAGAAACAAAACCAACAAAATAAAAAAGAAAGAGAGAACAAATAGTATGCTTCAATCTGCATTCAGACTCCATAGTTCTTTCTCTGGATATGGACAGTATTTTCCATCATGAATCTTTTGGAGTTGTCTTAGATCTTTGCATTGCTAAGAAGAGATGTCTATCAAACTTAGGCATTGCCTAATGTGATTTTAATGTGTACAATGTTTTCCTAGATCTACTCACTTCACTCAGCGTCACTTCATGTAAGTCTTTCCAGGTTTTTCTGAAGTCTGCTGCTCATCATTTCTTATAGCACAATAGTATTCCATTACATTCATATACCACAACTTGTTCAGCCATTCCCCAATTAATGGGCATCCCCTCAATTTCCAATTCTTGGTCACCACAGAAAGAGCTGCTGTAAATATTGTACATGTGGGTCCTTTTCCTGTTTCTATTATCTCTTTGGGATACAGCCCTAGAAGTTGTATTGCTGGGTCGATGGTAAAAGCAACTTTTAATATTTGTTTTTTAAAACTTTGAGTTCCAAAGTATCTCCCTTTCTTCCTCCCCTCCCAATTGAGAAGGCAAGCAATTTCATATAGGTTATACAGGTGTAGTCATGCAAAGCATATACATAATGGTCATGTTGTAAAAGAAAATATAGACAAAAAAACTCAAGAAAAAAAGAAATAAAAACATGTGCTTCAATCTGTATCCAGACACCATCAGTTCTTTATCTGGGGATGGGTAGTATTTTTCATCCTAAGTCCTTCAGAGTTGTCTTGGATTGTTGTATTGTGAAAATAGCTAAGTCATTCATGGCAGATCATCTCACAATATTGCAGTTACTTTGTACCCAGTACATTTCTTGCATCAACCCATGCAAATCTTTTCTGGTTTTTCTGAGAACATCCTGCTCATAATTTCTTAGTGTACAATAGTATTCCATCATAATTACATACCACAACTTGTTCAGCCATTCCCCAATTGATGGACATCCCCTCAATTTCTAATTCTTTAATCACAGAAAAGAGATGCTATAAATATTTTTGTACATATAGGACCTTTTCTTTTTTGTTTTTTATCTCTTTTGGGATACAGATCTAGTAGTGGTATTGCTAGGTCAAAGGGTAGGCATGGTTTTATAGCCCTTTGGGCATAGTTCCAAATTGCTCTACAAAATGGTTGAATCAATTCTCAACTCCACCTACAGTACATTAATGTCTCATTTTCCCACATCCCCTCCAACATTTGTCATTTACCTTTTCTTTCCCATTAGCCAATCGAATAGGTATGAGGTAGTACCTCAGAATTGTTTTAATTTGCATTTCTCTAATCAATAATGAGTCAGAATACTTTTTCATATGGCTATAGATAGCTTGAATTACTTGATCTGAAAACTGATTATATCTTTTGATCATTTATCTGTTGGGGAATGACTCATTTTAATAAATTTGACACAGTTCTCTATGTTAGAGAAATGAAGACTTTATCAGAGAATCTTGCTTCATTTTATTTTCAGTTACTATCACTAACTGTATTTTCGTCCATCCTAGTCCCCCTAATCCCATTTGTTCTATTCTCTCTCTCCTTTCACCCTGTCTGTTCTCAGAAGTGTTTTGCTTCTGACTACACCTTCCCCCAATCTGCTCTCCCTTCTATCATGCCCCCCCCATCCCCTTACCCTTCTATTTTGCTGTAGGGTGAGATAGATTTCTATACCCCATTGCCTGTGTATCTTATTCCCTCTTTGAGCCAATTCAGGACTTTATCTTTCCCCAGATAGCTAAGGAGTACTTAGTGATTTGGGAGTCACTGGTGATCAGCACAAAGGGGCTACAAGCTGGAAAGCAGGCAGCCAAGAAAGCAGAGGTATGAACCAGCCACAAAGGTGCTTTTCCAGAGTGCACACAACATACTAAGATACAATTGAGTGAGTAAAAGGAAATAAACATACTGACTAGCACCACTATGGTTTGCGTGGCTCTGGTCTCAGGGGAGGTTCTAGAGGAAAAGCTGGTGCTGTGAATATTCTGGATTCTTTGATGGTGTCTGTATAGGGTAATCACCATGGAGCCACTGGTCAACACCATGATTCCTAGACACACAACATCAGGAAGGGAAATCATGGATAGATAGAGTGAAGAAATAAATGAGGGATTAAATGATGCTGAGCAAAAACCAAAATCCTGAGTGCTAGTGATGTTTTCATTGTCCTGTAAGCCTTTAATATATATAAGAATAACACAATTTTTCAGTAGATCTAGGGCCCAGCACAAGAGACAGAAGGGGACAATGCATTTTGGAATTTTGACTTTGAGTTCTGCCCACCTAGAGCTTCTAGGACTTAAAATGATGGCTTGGAATCCACTCAGGAGGCAGGTAGTGGAGAGAGAAAGGCCCTGGGCCACTCGGTGAAGGTAAAACACAAGTTTACATCCCACATCATCTAAGAAATTGTTGAGCCCAAAAGCAGCCATTGTCTGAGGGATCCCTTTGGAGAGAAGCACCAAATCATTGACAAAGGCCAACTGTATGAGAAGAAAATCTATGGGTCTCATCCTGGGGCCAATGCATAAGGTGATGGTATAAAGGCCCAGGAGAAAGGAGTTCCCCAGGGCCCCAACTCCAATCTGAGAGATGAAGATAATCCTCAGTGCTATGTTACTAGCAATCATTCGCTTGATGGTCAGAGGAGGCAAAAAGCAAAAAAAAAACCCCAAAAAACAAAAAAAAAACCCAGTAGAATGCAGAAAGACAAGGAGCTGCTGACCTTCCTTGAAATGAGGTAGCTTCACTCTGCATTCCTTATGTTCTCTGTTGACCATTTATTTCAACTAGAACCTCTTGTGAATGTTTTCCTTAGGACTGACAGATGGAAAGATATTGTTAACATGAAAGATTTTAATTTCTTTCTTTCCCTCCAGTCGTAGTGAGTTCTCTAAATATTGAATAGACTGAGTTCAGCTTTGTAAAAGCATAAGTATATATACATACCCATAATGCAGTCATTTAAATAGGTCCAGGAACGATAGAAAATCCATTGGGTATAAGTGTGTCAGAATCATTGACCTTAATATTGTTAAAATTGTTTTAGTATTTCTTTAGTAATTCTTAACCTTATACCTTTGAGCAGAGTAATTCATACTGGTCCAATTACCACAAAATTTTGAGCTATAGTATCTGTCTCTAGGGGCATGGACAGGGGAAATTCAGAGGGAGAGAATGACAATAAGTATCTGTTCTCTCCTAAACAAAGGTATTTCCTAATATTCCTCATTCATATCTTTTTGTTCTCACATGTCTTTACATGAATTCATGAGAGTGTATATATTTGACATACTTGTATATATAGCCCATGAATCCCTAAGTTACCTCTACCTAATTGGCCTGACTTATCAAATGTTGATTAAAATTTCTCTTCCATTTTGAGTGATGAATCATTTGCTTTTCTGCTCATCTTGGAAGACCTGTTGCACACATTCAGTTGATCCAATTATTTGCTGTTCAATTACTAGGATAAGTTTTGCTTCAAATACTTACCTTTCTGATCAGTGGGATGGTTAGGGTGGTACCTACATTGACAATAGTATGGATGGTGATGAGGGTGCAGAGAAGAGGCTAAAGAGTAAAGGAAGAAGGAGAATGTGTTAAAAAAAAATCTACCATAGACAGAGGAGATTTAAACCTGAAATTTAGAGTTGATTCTATATTAGGAAAACTATAAAACAAATTCAAAACATAACATTATATCAATAGATATATGAATAGAAAATGATTTGGATAATATACAATACCCATTTATGTTTTTTTTAAATCAATACAATTTATAAGAACAAATGGATCTTTTCTTAATTTGGTAAGCAATTTCTTTTTTTCTTTTTCTTTTTTAGTACTTTCTTTTTATTTTTCCCAGCTACATGTAAAAACAATTTTTGACATTCTTTTTTAAAATTTTGAGTTCCAGATTCTCTCCCTCCCTCACTGCCCAACCCCCTCATTGAGAAGTCAAGCACGACTACTCTATATACGCGTAGTCATGCAAAACATATCCATAATAATCATCGTGTGAAAGCAAATATAGACAGAAAAATTCAAGAAAAATAAAGTAAAAAAAGTGTACTTCAATCTGTATTCAGACACCATCAGTTCTTTCTCTAGGGATGGATAGCATTTGTCATCATAAGTCTTTCAGAATTGTCTTGAATAATTGTATTGTTGAGAATAGCTAAGTCGTTCATAGCTGATCATCTTATAATATTTCTCTTACTTTGTATACAGTACATTTCACTTTGCATCATCCAATGCAGGTGTTTTCATATTTTTCAGAAAACATCCTGCTCATTATTTCTTATAGTACAATAGTATTCCATCATAATCACATACCACAATTTGTTTAGCCATTCCCCAATTGATGGGCATCCTCTCAATTTTAATTATTTGTCCCCAGAAATGAGCTGATATAAATATTTTTGTAAATATAGGTCTTTTTCCTTTTTGCTTTTAATGTCTTTTGGGATTCAGACCTAGTAGTAATGTTAATAGGTCAAAGGGTTTTACAGCACTTTGGACATAGTTCCAAATTGCCCTACAGAATGACTGAATCAGTTCACAACTCCACCAACAGTGAATTAATGTCTCATTTTTCCCATATCCACTCCCAACATTTGTCATTTACCTTTTCTGTCCTATTAGCCAATCTAATAGGTATGAGGTGGTACCTCAGAATTATTTTCATTTGCATTTCTTCAATCAATAGTGAGTTAGAGTATTTTTTCATATGACTATAGATAACTTTGATTACTTCATCCGAAAACTGCTCATATCCTTTGATCATTTATAAATTGAGGAATGGCTATTATTTTTATAAATTTGACTCAGTTTTCTATATGTTTGAAAAATGAGACATTTATCTGAAAAATGTGCTTCAACTTTTTAAATTTTTTAATTAATTAATTTATTTTTAGTTTTGAACAATTACTTCCATAAGCTTTTGAGTTTTAAAATTTCTTTCCCTCCCACCCACCCACGCCCTTTCCCAAGATGGCACATAATCTGATATAGGCTCTACATATACATTCTTATTAAATATATTTTCACATTAGTCATGTTATAAAGAAGAATTAGAACCAATAGGAGGAATCACAAGAAAGAAGAAACAAAACAAAACATAAGAAAAATTAGAGCAAATAGTGTGTTTTGATCTGCATTCAAACTCTATAGTTCTTTCTCTGGATGTAGATAGCATTTTCTATCATGAGACTTTTGGAGATGTCTTAGATGCTTGCATTGCTAGGAAGAGCTAAGTCTACCAAAATTAGTCATTGCACAACAAGGTTGTTACTGTGTACAACACTCTCCTTGTTCTGCTCATTTCACTCAGCATCAGTCCATACAAGTCTTTCCAGGTTTTTCTGAAGTTCACTTGCTCATTATTTCTTATAGCACAATAGTATTCTATTACATTCACATACCACAACTTGTTCAGCCATTCCCCAATTGATGGACATCCCCTCAATTTCTGATTCTTGGCCACCACAGAAAGAGCTGCCATAAATATTTTTGAACATGTGGGTCCTTTTCCTATTTGTATGATCTCTTTGAGATATAGCCCTAAAAGCACTATTGTTGGATCAAAGGGTATGCACATTCTTATAGCCCTTTGGGCATAGTTCCAAATTATTCTCCAAAATGGTTGGATCATTTCACAACTCCACCAACAATGCATTAGTATTCCAATTTTTCCACATCTTCTCCAACATTTATCATTTTCCTGTTTTGTCATGTTGGCCAATCTGATAGGTGTGATGTGGTACCTCAGAATTGTTTTGATTTGCATTTCTCTAATCAATAGTGATTTAGGGCATTTTTTCATATGACTATATATGGCTTTAATTTATTTATCTGAGAACTGCCTATTCATATCCTTTGACCATTTTTTAATTAGGGAATGACTTACATGCTTATATATTTGACATAGTTCTCTGTATTTTAGAAATGAGGCCCTTATCAGAGACACTGGTTATAAAATTCTTTCCCTGTTTTGTGCTTTCCTCCTAATCTTGGTTTCATTGGCTTTATTTGTGCAAAACCTTTCCAATTTAATGTAATCAAAATTATCTATTTTGCATTTCATAATGTTCTCTAACACTTGTTTGGTGATAAATTCTTTCCTTCTCCATAAATCTGACAGATAAACTATTCTTTCCTCTCTCAGTTTGCTTATAGTATCAGTCTTTATATCTAAATTGTGTACTCATTTAGACTTTATTTTAGTATTTGGTGTAAGATTTTGGTCTATGACTAGCTTCTGCCATACTCTTTTCCAGTTTTCATAGCAGTTTTTGTCAGATAATTAGTTGTTATCCCAGAAGTTGGAGTCTTTAGGTTTATCAAACAGTAGATTACTATAGTCATTGACAACTGTGTCTTGCTTACCTAATCTATTCCACTGATCCACCACTCCATTTCTTAGCCAATACAAGTAGTTTTGATGTTTGCTGCTTTATAATACAATTTAAGATCTGGTATGGCTAGGCCACCTTCCCCAGCATTCATTTGCTCTCTTGACATTCTGGACCTTTTGTTCTTCCAGATGAATCTTGTTATTATTTTTTTCTCACTCGATAAAATATTTTTTGGTAGTTTGATAGGTATGGCACTGAATAAGTAAATTAACTTATGTAGAATTGTCATTTTTATTATATTAAGTTGGTCTACCCATGAGCAACTGATGTTTTTCTAATTACTTAGATCTGACTTTATTTGTATGAAAAGTGTTTTGTAATTGTGTTTATATAGTTCCTGAGTTTGTTTTGGCAGGTAGACTTCTCAATATTTTATAACGTCTACAGTAACTTTAAATGGAATTTCTTTTTCCATCTCTTGCTTTTGGGCATTGTTGTTAATATATAGAAATGCTAATGATTCATGTGGGTTTATTTTATAACCTGCAACTTTGCTAACATTGTTTATTATTTCAAGTAGTTTTGTGCTTGATTCTCTAGGATTCTGTAAGTGTATCATCATATCATTTGTAAAGAGTGAGAGCTTTGTTTCTTCATTGCCTATTTTAATACCTTCTTTTGCTTTTTCTTCTCTTCTGCTGAAACTAAAATTTCTAGTACCATATTGAATAAGAGTGGTATTAATGTACATTCTTGTTTCACCCCCAATCTTATTGGAAATGCTTCCAGCTTGTCCACATTGCATATAATGCTTGCTGAAAGTTTTAGGTAGATGCTACTTATCAATTTAAGGAAAAATCCATTTATTCCTAAGCTCTCTAGTGTTTTTAATAGGAATGGGTGTTGTATTTTGTCAAAAGCTTTTTCTGCTTCTATTCAGATAATCATGCAGTTTCTGTTCATTTTGTTGCAGATATGATCAATTATGTTCATAGTTTTCCTAATATTGAACCAGCCCTGCATTTCTGGTATAAATCCTACATGGTCATAGTGTATTATTCTTGTGATAAATTGCTGTAATCTATTTGCTAATAGTTTATTTAAGATTTTTGCACTTACATTCATTAGGGAAATTGTTCTATAATTTTCTTTCTTTGTTTTGACTCTTCCCCGTATAGATATTAGTACTATATTTGTATCATAAAAAAAATTGGTAAGACTCTATCTTTGCCTGTTTTCCCAAATAGTCTATATAGTATTGGAATTAATTATTCTTTAAATGTTTGATAGAATTTGGTTATAAATCCATCTGGCCCTGGAGATTTTTTCTAGGGAGTTCATTGATGGCTTGTTCAATTTCTTTTTCTGAGATGAGGTTATTTAAGTATTTTACTTCCTCTTCTGTTATTCTGGGCAATGCATATTTTTGTAAATATTCATCCATTTCACTAAGATTGTCAAATTTATTGGCATACAGTTGGGCAAAATAGTTCCTAATTATTGTTTTAATTTCCTATTCCTTGGTGGTCAATTCACCCTTTTCAATTTTGATACTGGTAATTTGGTTATCTTCTTTCTTTGTTTTTTTAATTAAATTAACCAAAGGTTTATCTATTTTATTTTTTTCCCCAAAACCAGCTCTTAGTATTATTTACTAGTTCAATAGTTTTCTTAATTTCAATTCTATTAATCTCTCCTTTGATTTTCAATATTTCTAATTTGGTATTTAATTGAATATTTTTAATTTGTTTTTTTTTTCTAGCTTTTTTAGTTGCACGCCCAATTTATTGATCTCCTCTTTCTTTTTTATTCATGTAGGCATTTAGAGATGCAAAACTTTCTCTAAGAACTGCTTTTGCTGCGTCCCATAAATTTTGGTGTGTTGTCTCATTATTTTCATGCTCTTGAATGAAGTTATTGATTGTTTCTATGATTTGTTGTATGACCCATTCATTCTTTAGGATTAGATTATTTAGTTTCCAGTTAAGTTTAGTCTATCTTTCCATGGCCCTTTATTACATATAATTTTTATTGCATCATGATCTGAAAAGGATGCATTTAATATTTCTGCTTTTCTGCATTGGATGGTGAAGTTTTTATGCCCTAGTACATGGTCCATTTTTGTGTAAGTGCCATGTACCACCAAGAAAAAAAACTATTTTCCTTTCTATCCCCATTCAGTTTTCTCCCAAGGTCTATATCTAACTTTTCTAA